AATTAATTGACAATCTGTATGTAGGGTGTGTATAGGTTTGTTGGTTTATTTATTGTATTGCCACTACTCACACGTTAAACTAAGATGATGGGGATGGTAAACGTTAACGGTGAACATGTTAGCATGCTGCAGTTAGCATGTAGCTAAAAGCACCTCTGTGCCAAAATACAGCCTCACAGAGCCGTTTACAGGGCTGTGAACTCTTAGCCTTGTTTAATCATGAGAAAATTTGAATGACCTATATTTTTATATACTTTCTCGAAACTGCACCAACACATAGCTGCAGAGTTTTAATCTGGTTTGTGAATTGCAGGTTTGAACAGTGTTTCTTTGACTTTCCATATTGTCTTTCTATCAGAGAGAAAATTCATAAAATCCCTAGATAGATGTCGTCACTTAAACAGAATGGGTTATGCCAAATGATTCTACACAGGCAAATTAACTGACACAAAGGCCCACCGAGTAGGATTTTGTGACTTTGAAAAGCTTCTCCATCTGTGATGAGAAAGTGGAGTGAAACAGTCAACAGTTATAAATACATCTCAACCTGATAGAATAGCCAGCAGTAGAGAGATGATTACAATGTTTCGCCACCAAAACACAGCTGCTAACTATGTTGAGATAATAACATCTAAATCTAAGTGGTGGAGGGCTGAGAGGAGGAAGTACAACCACACATTCAAACACCAGCACACACACACACACACACACCTACACGCACACATTGCTTCTCATCCTGTCCACAGTGATTGTTCGCCCACATAAACGGTGTGTGTCCGCCCAGGAGTTAACCGCCTGAGGAGCCAGTTATATAGCACGAGATTGATTGCATATTTAGAAAGTGCCTCACTTCAACACATGCCGGACAATTGCAGAACTACACATTCAACCACAGAGGTGTATTCATACATAAACACACACACACACACACACACACACACACACACTTAAACGCACGCACGCACTGGTGTGTTTCAGGCCCGACCAGCTGTGTCCAAATTTCAAACACAACTCAAAAACCCCCATAATTGCTACGTCCATTTGACGTTTCTGTATTTTACTGACCAACACACACAATCAAAAAGGTTTTAATGCTAAAACTGGCAACACATGAATGTGCTGTAGACTTACACAAATACCAGTGTTCAAGACCTGTAACTAGCATTATTTAAAGAGTCATCAGATGACACTTATGTGTATAGGTGCAAAATATAGAGCCAATGTAGGGTGACTCAGTTTAGTTTAGTTTGGTTTGTAAGTGAAGGCTTTGGCCCTGACGCAGATTTACTGAAGCATTCAACGTATGCAGTGGCTTGCTGAGCAGTGTGGCTAACGGAGAGGAGTGTACATCCTCGAACTCGGTAGGGGCCCTCTCAAAGATGCCAGGTTATACTCTGCTGAGTTCAACACATCAAGGTCAAGGGGCCATGTTTCCTTTCTTCTCAGGGGGCTCGGAATTCCTAGCAGTGTACCTGGGCCCTTTCGAATCCTGCACACTCTGCCATGTTTCACAGAACGCAGAAAAATCTTTGTAGTTATGCATAGTTTGATACTGCTTTACAATAGAGTGTTGCAGGGACCAAACCGGAAGCTAGCATCGCCCCTGTTCCCTCGACAAAAAGACAATGGGATTTTTTCCATTGCATTGTGGATTATTGCAGAAAACAAACTGTGGAAAACAGACTTTTATGATAACTACATCATTTGTTCAGCAAGATAATCTTCATAAATTAACACCACTTTTAAAATAGTTGAAGGGTAAATGCAATTGCCAGAAAAAAAAGCTAATGTTAGGCTACAAACAAACGAAACCCCGGTAGCATGAGCGCGAGACAACGCAGCTGTGAAGGCGGACTAATCTGCACGATGACGTTTAATGTCCTCGACAACCTCTGTTGTCTCATTGAACCACTTGTCAGCAACCTTGTTCTTTACAAAACATAAAAGATTCAAAATTCACGAGTCCGGGATTTACTGATGTATTTCATACCGTAGAACAAAAGTCTCAAGCTTGTGTTAACCGCAGACCTTATATCAGGCATAGATCCAAAAACCTATTCAAAAAACCCATTGACTCGGCGACAAGGGAAACGGAAGAGCAACAACAGGAACTCATTTCTGGCTTTTAGGACTCATTCCTGTGTGTGATGTATAAGCTATTAACACAGTACAGTCCTATATATAAGCCATCGACGTTCAGAGGCTATATGTCATAGCTCGACAAAGACTCGAGTGCATGAGCGAGTTGAAAAACGGACTTTAGGATAATAGTTGGTAATTATTAATCATAATTGTTAAATAATCAAACAACCACAACTGTTCTTTAATTAATGTATTCATCCTGTGACTATGCATGAACAGTATTTTAGAGTGCTTGTTGTATGTTCTGTATATACTGTTTGTAATAGTTTTTTGTAATTAACTTTTGGCTGTATCTCTATATTATGCATACAATTTCAAGTATGAGTTTATTGTATGTGGTCCCTGTCAAATATACTTGTAGAAATTTAAATGGTATTGACCTTGATCGCTCTTACTCCCTGTAAGAAAATTAATAGTCAGGTTTCCAAAGATGTCAAACTATTCCTTTAAGAAACCAATATTCTGAAAACCCTGGAAAGCCTTTGCCTGAATGAGAGCCAAAAAAGTCCATTACAGTAAACCAGGCTAAGTGGGTGGCTATTTGTCTGACAAAACTAGCTGCCTGTCTGAGTGAGAGTTATGACGTTCAAACTAAATTTCACAATGATGAAGTGCTGCCTGCCTACTCTAAATGCTTGAAAAGAAACTCTAATTGGCTAGCATGATGGCAGACTGTCAGGCTGGCTAACTGACTGCAGCAGATCACAGAAGTCCTGCGCCAATGGTCGCCTCTGTAACAGCGTTGTGTGAACTTTGACAGCACTGCGATGTTTGCCCATTTTCTCCAGGGGACCTGGCCCGAACCCAGCATATTTCATCTTGGCTCATAATGATATGAATTCAGGGACATGGTCATGTCCATTTCAGAGCCATTATTAAATGCTGTTTCAGAAGATGCTCTACCATGTTTAAATCCAATTCCTGGTAAATGTTTTCCCAACTGCGTATCTTACAGTCATTAAAATGGTCATACTTTTGAATATTAGCACAAAGAAATATCAATAGCTACAAAAGGAAATTGTTTATTTTGGTAAGTTTGTGACCAGCCCGTCATGTTGAAAGCAGTCGAGCACAGACAAAACACCTCTGGAGCGAACTTTCTCATTTTACAGCTTAACAGCACACTAAAAGGGGATTCTGAAAACATTTGAGGAGAGAAATAGGCAATACAGTAACAAAACCTTGATTCATATTTGCTCAGCGCTGCCTAGTTTGACAGTTTGATTGGAGTTGTTGTGCTTCGCCAAAGGTGATTGACAGACTCCTCGCCTCTGATTGGTTGTTTTCTTTCGTGCACGATGGAATTTTGCAAATGATATTAAGAAATTAAGATGAGGAAGAGGAACCAGATTTTGTTCATAGAATATCTGTCTCATGTACTACTCTCAGGACATTTTGAGCAGATGTGACAAAAAGTTATTTTTATTAAAATGACCAACTGTAGCTTTACGGGGCGACTGACAGGGACTTTTTAGCTGGATCCAGACCGCATATGTGCTCGTCCAGATAAGGGAACGGAAATGCATCCTGAGATGTTGAGATTAGCAAAACACAGAGCTAGTCTTTGTGTGTGTGCAGCCACTGGCATGGTCAGTGGTCCTGAGCACTTTCACATTCGTTAACTCACTTCACTGGGATTCAACAGAAAAATGAGAAGTGATACAAAACATACACAAATGTGGTAATGCCTTGAAATATCTCGTTGATTAATACAAGGGTAGGAGGTGAAGAATGACAGATGAAACCTTTATGTCCAGGTCAGGCTGGTGGCATTAAAATTGCTTATTTTCCTCATTGGACTTTGTAACATGAGACACTTTTATTCCCAGAATGTTGTGAATCTTGAATTAAACTAAGTTATATTATTTCTGGCATTTGGGTGCAGCAATGTATCTTAAAGAGACAGTCATGATTCCTAGAAAGAGACTTTTCTGTTCAGTTTTACAAAAATGTGCCATATAGTTCCATTATATATTTGATTGTTTTTGAAAGGCTAAACATCAACAAATATGGAATGAAATCGAATATTTTGCGAGATGAAATATTATTTTTGGAATAATTAGTACATGTATCTTTTTTCAATAGATGTTGGCTTCTGGACTTTACAACGCTCTGGAGATATTGGAAATATTTGTATAAGACAAGTCAGAAACAATCCTATGCAAGTGCCGTGTGCAATATACGGACAGTTTCTGGGTCGGGTGCGGACAAAAGGCTATTTAAAAAACAATCTGCTCTGCACTCCCTCCAAAATCCTTCCGATTGTGGTCCCCGAAGAAGATTGATAAATAGTACTATATGGTAATTTCAGATTTTGGGGCGAACTATTTGATTTGGTAGGACATAAACTGGAATGACATACTTACTGTTTCGACTGAACTGACAACTTTTTTTCCCTTTACTTGAAACATGCAAAACCAACCGGTAGATAAGATCTCCCTGGACCTGAAACAAGCAGCTTTCACTTCCTCTGTGTTCCCCACAGTTCCTGGAAACACCCGCAGCGTTCTAAAAGGAAATTTCACTTAAAAATTTGAGCCGCAGCTAAATTTGAGACGTTGTTGAAATGTCGATGCCCAGATTCCTCAGGCTATCTGGACGATGTAGGGACTGATATTAAAATAATGTGGCCACTCAACCATATGTCTGTAACCATATGTCCGCAAAAAATGAAAACAAGTGTAATATAATACAATGTAAACTGAGGAGCCGAGTCAAGCCTGTAACTTGGGGTTAGTAGAATTTAGGTTTATTCTGACACATCCCGAGCAGTGAGAATATAGTTTATTGATATTGGCTCTTTAAAACGATAAGAAATGACACAAAAACACATCTGAATTCAATCTCAAAGTGTTTTAATTGTGATTTTGCCATGCACATTCCTGGCCAGCCAGGGTCCATTTATATAAATCTATTAACAAAAGCTGGGAAATGCAGTATAAAATAAAACAATATGTTACATAAACAATATTTACAGACATATGAATATAATGATTGTCCTTTATAAAAAATGAAAGCTTGAGTGACAAATATATGGTTTGCATGCAGAATCTGTTTCAGCATCTACTGCTGGTGGCTTGTGTTGCTCTTTGTATGGCTGGCAATGTGTTAGAAATGTTAATGAAAAAGACAACAGTAGCAAGCATTACATAGTGTTCAATATTATTTACAACATTATTATGTACAGAAATATACAATCTGTATTTAACTGCCTGCATTGTTAATATATTATAAAACCGCTGTGATGAAAAGTGATATATGGAGGTCAAGACTTGGAAAAAATCACTCTCCTTGTGTGTGTATGGTCTGATTTATGGTAATTATATCTTTAATATGCAACATTTTGGAATATAGCCACATGGATCATTCCCAACACACATGATGCTGCTAGGCAGCTCAGGTAAGCGTGCATAAAAGCAAAGTTTGCTGACGTGATGTCTTCAAGAGATGCCCCTCTTTCAGACCAACAATCAATGTTAGCTTATGAAACTGTAAACGTTCTCCAGCCTTGACCAAGGATTTGAGTTGCCTAACCGTAACCTCAGTGTAGTCAGAGTTTATTTACAATATTTTTACCATAACCATTTACTGTAGTTGCTATGCATGGATAATCTAAAACAGAGTTGAACTTTAAAACATTGAACATAAAAAGAATCATCCAATTGCAACTTCTGCAATAAGATTTGACAGAAAGATCTTTTCTAGAAGTAGAATACAACTCATGCCAGTAAACGTTAATTGCAGTGGTGGTTATTATTTTTGCAAAATGTTATAGAAATCAGAGTTTTAAAAACTGTAACAGATGATCCTGGACCAATTAAGATAAAACTGCCAAATGTAACATACATATAGTGATTAGATGTATAAACAGATGTCAAGCAGGAATACGGTCTCCTTAGCTTCTGTACTCAAAGAAAACAAATTGTTTTACAAACTGAAGACCAAATAAATCAGGTCACACACATTAAAACAGTCCTGTTAAAGGAAAACAACACATTCTGCTGAAGGACAGAGAAATCCTGCTCATACAAAGAAAAGAAAAAAACATTTGTAATTTTATTTAATAATCTCACTGGTTTGGTCCTCCATAGCATATATACAAGACGGTGTTTTGGGCTAGTGTGATGGGCATCAAATGCAGCCTGGGAGTTCATTTCAGCCCAGATGGTTTGACCAAATAGTAGTCTAATTTTGTTCCCACAAGACACCAGAACAGATTTTATGACTCTGTATCTGACTGTCCCATTATTTAGATGGTGTGTGTCTACACAGAGCTGAGGCATACTATGTCTAAAATTACTTTGGTAAAATCTCTGAGGTTTTATATTTTGACCTTCACGTTCTCAAATGGTGGTGGGCATTTGGAGCGGTGCTAAATCTGGTGGTGTGTATATTGTACTTTGAGTGATAAAAAGTAAATGAAGTCATGATATCATGTCAGAAAGTTGCATGGCAGCCCAACGTGGTTATTGCGGTCAGCACTAGAAATGTAGGAGAGACGTAATGCAAAAGACGTCCCGGACCATCATTCACCAAACGGCCTTTGCTGAAATATAATTTGATACAGGTTCGCTCATGACCAAACGTAGAGGGGAAACCTTGAGCAAAGTCATGTTACACTTTTAAATATCAGAAGCCGAATTATTTATCGTAGCAAGCAATGTAATTACAGGTTGCAAGATGGTAATGAGTGGGTTTGCTGGATGTGAAGTGGCAATGTTGGATGGTACTCTGTGGTTTTCAGATGACTGCGAACACTCTGAAGGCTTTTCCACTTGTTGGGTTCAGTAGGCTGGAAGAAGTAGGGCAGGCAGAGAACAGAGTGGTGGTAGAAATGACGTGTTGTTTTCCACAGCAATAAAAGGTTCTGACGTAAAGATGTATTCTAATATTCTAATATGTATTCAATTTGATCATCACACTGACAGAGGTAGTTGCAAATAAAAATCGGAACTCAGAACAAGGTCCAACTCCACATCAAATAAAATACACATACATTGAAAATATATACACATTCATATTAGTTCTTCTATGTATACACTGTACATAATGTACTTCATATACTTTTTTAATCTTACCTCTCTGAAGTGATGCCATTCTGGTAGCTGCCACTGTACTGCTTCCTTTTATCCACAGGCATCACATCGAGGTAACCTCCTGACTCATTCTGGATCACTCCAGCATGAACAGCTGCTCGGCAGATACTGGATTTCTGAAAAACAAATCATACCTATAAGAAACAAATCCTAAGAAGAATTCCCACTGTTCTCATTTAATCTCCAAAATTCAAATGGTCCCTCTAAGTGTGGAGAAGATGAGGCCTCTTTCAAAATGGGTTGTTATATGTGTGTTATGAATCGGGGTGAAAGCACTGGTTGAATCCCAAAACACCGTTGGTTACACAAGTCCGTTTGCCTCTGATCTGGGGCTTTCCTCGGGGATCTCAGCGAGTGGAAAATCAGGATAAAAGTCGTATGGTTTGAACTAGGCATTTGCACTTGAATACAGCCATCATTTACGTTGTTAATTACACCGTGCTATGATGTCTGATGTAAACAGGGTCTATTTTTTCAAACTGTAAAAGTAAATTTATGAAAATTGAGTGACAAGAACTTACATCTGAGTAGTAGTTTGTCCCAACGACTCGGGCCCGACTGTCACGCAGACAGTTCCTGGGACAATACGACCTGAAGAAAAAGTCAGAGCTCACTTTGGGTCCGAGGATATTTTCAGCACATACACTGGAACTACTGTATGTTCTTCCTATCTGAAGGCCCAAACAAATCTCATTTGTTGAGTTAACACTATTAAGGCAGAGTTAAAGACCTACAGCTTGTTGGATTGTAAATAAAAGATTCTAAATGGCAAACCAGGAAACCTTTGTCAAGATCTAATATAAAATTCTGCAAATGCTAACTTTCCTTCATTGATGCTACAGGCTAGTTTTGCTACTTTTCTTTGATTTGTAAGGGCACATGGGCCAAACAGCTAACCCCTATTACTTACAATGACTGTGACACATTGGCTCCTTGTGGTTTAATTCAAACATTGAGATGTTTTCAGTCACAGACTGTTACCTGGGACAGTGTCTTACAGGTTTCTTGAAAGGGCAGAAAAGTGCAACGGTGGTGTCGCATGATAGAGCCTTGACTGGGAGAAAAGAAAAAGAAAAACACAGCAAGATGACAATGTTTCTGTATACAGACATGTGACTGTATCTGTGTCCTCAAAGTGAAAAATATGTTGTATGCTCCTTACCAGGCACCGATTCTACTTTGAAGGAATTTGCACTTCTGTTTTTCCTGTGGATTTAAAGAAAGATGCATTAGTTATGGTCTGTTTTGCATAGCCACGGATCATTAGTGCCCACAAAGGGAGTACATTTATATCCGGACTGTATTAAACTCGCTTTTTTTGCTTAATACTAGAATAGATAAAGACTGAATACAGAGACTAATCATACCCAATTGATTGAATACCATTCTTGTATGACTTAGTGAATTGTTGCTTTCTGCCCAGTCTGGTCACATCCAGCCATCCTCCATCATTGTCAATAACACCAGAGTGTAAACCAACTCCACACACGCTGGATTGCTGCAGTGAAAGACAAAGTTGTGAATAATGGGCGGCAAGGTATATCTGAAAATTCCCATGAAATATTTGATTCCCAATATTTTCGTGTTTCCTGTAAAAACAGAAAGCTACAGAAGAGCTTGTTGCGGCTTTTGATTGGTGTTTACAGTAGCCAATGGCGCAGAATGTGCGTTACCCCCCCCCCCACACACCTAATGACAGTAGCTACTAGCTCAACATGGAGAATTCTCGCCACCACCATGGTCTACGCCAGCTGATTTCATCAACCAATCCGACAGGGATGAAATGGCAAAATAAGACAACCATGACTACGTCGTTTTTTGGAGTGAGGCCATGCATGTACTAACTGATATCCGAAGCTGTGGTGCTAATGTACCCTAATGGTAATCTTGTGTCACATCTATATTATTATCGGATGTACTGTATACTCCCTCGATTGCAGGATGAATCATCAACATTTTATTGTTTTTTCTGGAAATTACCTCTGAAATACCAGTAAGAATACCTACAAAACAACTTTGTTTTCATTGGTGCCCAGATACTGGCACACAGGTCAATGACTCAGTCAATCAAACTTTATTTATAGAGCACCTTTCAAACAAAACAAATGTCTTTCAAAGTGCTTTACAAGCGATTGTCAAAACTTGGGATGTTAAAAGTAGTACAATGTTATATCAAATTGAATGAAATAATTTCTAATGTTTGGATCAACAGGGAAAATAGTAGAATAAAATAGATTTGAAAATGCTTATAGAATAAGTATGACCACAAAAATTATAAAGTGACGACCAGCGTAATACATATGTGATAAAACAACGTAAAACAACTATTTTGATTTCATGGCAACTTTAAAAGAAACATGACGTTTTTTTTGTGGATACATAGTTAAATGCCAGTTTCAAAAATGGGTCTCTGGGGATCCCTTACCATGTCATAATATCCAGTCCCAACCACTTTTCCAGGGCTGTCGATGCAACCTGGCGGACACTCATATCTATGGACAGGAAACAGTACAGTGAACACATCTGGTGCTTTGTTGTTAATATAAGCACATACTATTGTATGAATATTAGTATAATTCAACGTTCTAATTCTATCTGAACTGTCCTGATAATTCACAGCTATCTTGGTACATCAGATGTTTTCCCGAATTAGCATGCACATCATTATTTGACATCCGTCCGTTGCAGTGTCACCACTTTCCCGAGCATTTACCTGTTACAGGTGGTCCCCTTGCACTGATCTCTCAGCTTGGTCTCACAGTCGACCTGTTGACCTACAGTAACAAACAAACGAGGGCTTTTCACAATCTCATTTTACTACTAGTAATAATGTGTACTCTCAAAGCCACACCATTCAGACAGGTGTGGTATGGTGAGAGTAGTCCTTACACATCTGCTCTGTGCTGACAACCTGGTTTCTCTCTAGGTTGTCATTGGGCGAGGGGTTTGGTGTCTGGGCCCTGGGTTGGGGCTCCCTGTCCCTCACTGGTTCCGGTTCCGGTTCAATGTAGTTGGTCTCCTCAGTCTCAGGAGCTGGACGCCTGTCAACCCCGCCATCTGAAAACATGCACCAGATTTAATAATTTTCTATACAAGTTGTATTTATGTTACACAAACAATATTAGGAGGGGCGCTATCCATGGGGTTGCCAAATGTTGTGAACGACTAAAAACCCATGCTCTTTCAGTGAAACTATCGCTAACAATTTTGGGTAGGTACAAAAGTATACAAGGAGATAAAACATGGCAGAAAACCACAACTCGAGACCAAGACTCACCTTTGTAGCAGAGATTGTCCCTGCAGCCTCCAGCATAGCTAGCTGGACAGGCAGAACAGGGAGTTCCATATTTGTATGGAGCATGACCCCACCAGTTGCCCCTGAAAAAAAATCCAATCAAATATGAAAAACACTGACAAAAAGTTGTGTTTTAAAATGAACAATGTTCAAGGATTATGAAATATTGAATTATGTTTGTGAAACTGCATTTATGCACGGAATTTAGCATTTGACTCCTACATAACATTGATGGACTCAAGATGGACAGTTAAAAAGATTCCATCCAATCCTTTTCCTTGTCTACATTACCCACAATGCAACGTGAATGCCAACAGTTTGGTTGCAGATTTGGGGGTGTTATGGTAATAGCGGCAAATGTAGCCTCGATCTAGGTTACTTTTTTCTAGCTCCGCAACACCAGATTTATTTTTTTCATTTTTAAATTTCTGCCGAGATCATCACTTGATATAATCTATCAGATTTAGCCACAAAAGCCTATGAACAACTTTCCCCACATGTACAGTGGTACTTCCCAACACACGTAAACTGACTTTGGCACAGTTCATATCTTGTTTGTATCTCTTGTTTGTAGTTATTACCAATAAAAAAAAAGACTGAATCTGAGATAACTCCATTTATTATTTCAGTTTCAATCTCTGATATTTCGAGGAAGTTGCACATCATGGTATTGAAACAAGCAAAAACGTACGGTGGAGAGTAGTTGCAGACCAGGTAGACGGCTTTAGTCCAGATCATCCCCCACACGTTCATGTTGTAACACACGTTGATGGCACAGCCAATACGATTGCTAGTCGCCCACACCAACTGAAAATTGAAACACACACAAACAAAGTGACGTGTTCAGTGGTCCTCTCACATTTGATGGGGCTTGCAGCTCAGGGGTAGGCAAACGTATGCACACGTACCACCATTGTCATGTTGTAGCTTAACTAATAGCACATTAGCTTTTGGTGTGCAAGAGTACCCTCTCATGTGAATGCCAAATTACCTCTTTCACAGACATTGGCAGGTGCACGGCCTGTTATTTAGGTTAGTTAGAGTGTTAGTTTCCCCCACACCCTTTCCACAAAGACCCACCCTACTCTGCCTCTGATTGGCTAGTACTCGCAGAAGTCATTGTCTATTGCTGATGAACAACATAGGTGGGAAGTTGGTAGGGTGAATGATTTAAACTCCTGTCGGGCTCAAATATAAATTTACAATAGCCCGTTTATGGGAGAAAAATATTTTTTAAAAGATATGTTGCTATGCACGTCGCCTAGATGGATGGATTGAAATTACAGATCCATTTACATTTTTTACATAAAGATAAGAATTCTAAAATGGCACTAAAAAGGTTGCTGACCCCTGTTGTAGCTGAAGGCAATAATCATGTGACTATCACAGTAACAAAAGCAATAATGATAAACTTTTATAAATTGAAAAAATGGACTTGTTTTAATCAAACAGATCTGACAAAGGAAATAATTCATATATTCAGAAGAATATTTCACACATAATGGTCCTGCAGAAGTTTTTTCAAATATCCCAAATTGATATACATGTTTTAAGTAAAAGCCTAAAATGATCCTAAGTAATTGTTAGCCCTTTAAGACATGGAAATAAAAACAGCTCTTACCTGAGTGTAGTGAGTACAAACAGGTCCTGAACATCTGAATGGGCAGTGTGGGTTGCATTCCTGGGAGTAGGGATAGCTGTAGTGCCTCACCTCATCATACCAGGCCTGGACATGGAAGGTAGGGGGGCGATCCCTAAAGTCACACAGAAAGTGTTATACTGTATCATTTGTATTATAACACCAAAACATTTCTATGAATGCAATCTTGTTTGTTTGGTAATGTCATAAGGAGCTAAAGTCTAAAATCTCCCCATGGACCAACAAAGGCAAAAAGTTTTGTCTTTTTAATAGACAGTTTTCACAGCAGATATTTGAACGTGTCATAGCAGGAAAAGCACAGGTGTCAGTTAAGTTGAGCCATTTCCACGATCATTTCAGTCAGTTGTTGTCATTAGTTACTGGGCTTTTAGTGCAAGAACACGAATAACCAGAACACACTCACAATTTGAATTAGACCTTTTTACAGTCCGGACCAGCCAGACAGATGACCAGCCAGGTCTATGTCTATGTCTGCTGCTCTGATTGTCCAATAGTGTCGCCAATGCGTTTCATAAAGAAGCTAACGTGTGCCGTGTGTTGGTATGAAGATGCTAAGGGCTACTACTGCCCAAGCATCAGTATCTGACACCCCGCTAGTTACATGCATACACTCTTTTCAACAGAAACTTCCGTCTTCACAGGAATCTACTCATTTGGGTTTAGGCAATAAAACTACCCGGTTCGGTTTAGGAAAAGATTGTGAAATACTTAGTTAGGTTTACGCAACAAACCTACTTAGTTAAGTTGAGGAAAAGATTGTTTGGGTTAAAATAACCACAGAAGTTTAACTCAACATTAACTTCTCGCTTCACGTGGGGAACAAACAGCAGTCTCCTGGCTAAAAGATGGCTGTTTGTTGGACCCATTCACCTCCCCGCCCTTTGTGGTCTTTGTACTTCCTCGTTCATTATTACGTGGATAACATACGAAAAAAAAAAAGGTATAGCTACGAATGCATATTGTATCTATTCTTATGATAACACATGGCGTATAAAACACAGTTTACCTAAGACAGTTCCCTCCACCTCTTTGTACATACACACCTGCCCCAGTGCGCTCCAAGGTTTTGGCCTATTTGTGTCAACATGTGGCTCGGTCCATGTTCCCATCGGCAGGTATGTGCCCAGTGCTCCGCGCTCCTCTCTAGCTCGTAATCCCATACCTGGGGAGCACACACAGAACATCATTTAGGTCCTTGGTTAAAGAGTTATTTGCCTCTGAAGAGATGAACTTTGCTAGGGTAAGTAGCTAATTTTTTTTTTCAGCTGGTACCCAAAGCATTAGGTTTGGTAATACTAGTTTTCTCTTGGGCTCCAGGTTAAACTCAATGAGTCCAGAGCAGCTTTGCCTCTAAAAGATGTTTGCAGACCTGAAACCCCACTCTGGATTAACCTCATGATTTAAGTGGGCTAAGTGGCCATTTACCGTAGTTGTGGCCTTAATTGCTACTCATTGCATCTTTTCAGATATGTCATCACCTTCTTTGAGTAAACGTAACTAACATAAACTCCACTGCAAGCAATCTGAAAGTAATCTTACATATTCGAGGCGAAATAAACTTTCCTTTATGGTACAGTGGCTGTACGCATGCCCCTCGCAAATCTAACACAGTATAGTCAAAACTAGGCCTCACATACATTCACTCACAGACACACACACACACACACACACACACACACACACACACACACACAGACACATACATGAGAGAGAAGGGAAACAGAGAGGTATCACCACCACCACATCAACTTGCAGCCTTGTGTTACTATTCAATGTGGTTGTTTCATAGCTTGTTTCCAGTAAGTTTCGGTCATGTAAAAACAAAAAGCTGACAAATAAAAGTCTCTGTTTTTACCCTAACTTTTTTTTTTAAACTCAATTGAAGTCAAAATACCTGAAACCTATTTTGAACAAAGCAGACCGTGGGTATAGGATTGAGCAATTCAAATGTTGCGGCAAGGTTAAATTTACTGTTGGAGAAGAATAGGTGCAGTGTGCTCCGGCGCTGGCATGCTGTTTGGTTGCATTACGGCTATCACGCGTCAAAAACCATTAGGATAATGCTTGAGTGTGGAGTTGTAACTGCTCTGATTGACCACCATAATGTGTTCCATATGTTAGGTAGGGCTAACAAACTGTGCACACTGTTGCCCATTCACTGTGGCGCTGCTTACTGTTCAGGCCTGATTGGAGAAGGGATATCATGACCCTTCATCAGCTGTGGCTGAGATACCAGCACAGGGGTGGTTTTATGCTCTAACCTCCTGCAAGGTTGCCATGTGATGCTATATTTTTCCAAGATTATTATTTATATATTTATCATTCCAATTTTTTTGTGAACATATTTTCAGTAAAACTCAGTTACATTAGGCTTTGGTAAATGTAATGACTGTAATCACCAGAAAAAGAATGACAGAGAAGGTTGTTCGTTCAAAAATTCAAAACAGGAAACATTGAATTCGCCTGCTTTGTGAGTTTTAGTTTAAGTCAATGGCAGACAGAACAAACATTTGCAGGGCACAAGTGAGATGTTGCCTTTACTGGGCAGTCTAACTGAAAGCAGCACTGTGTTGACATATTGTATGGGACTGCATTGGTGGAAGCCTGTTGCTACAGATGCCAAGTGACGCCAATGTGGAAGTGCCTCAAACCTGCATTCTGCCAGCCATCAGCCAGCAGGGGGCGACTCCTCCGGTTGCAAAAGGAAGTCTGGTTGTATAGAAGTCTATGAGAAAATGACTCTACTTCTACTTGATTTATTCCCTCAGTAAACATTGTAAACATGAGTTTGGTCTCGCTGTTAGTTTCCAGTCTTCTTCAATACAGCATGATGTTAATTTAGACCTTGATTGACAGATCGTTACCACGCAGTTGTCCGTTCTAAGAGTCATCTGTGTTTTTGTCTCAGAATTCTAACCCCACAGTGTGTTTTCAGTTTTGAAAGTTAATTGTAACCTTTTTGGTCGCCTAAATCTGTCTTATTCAGTGTTCGGTTGTACCCTCTTGTGTCACTTCTGGTTGCAAAATCAAAGATGGTGACGGCCAAAATGCCGAACTTCAGAACAACAGTCAACGAACCTATGGGTGATGTCACAGTGAAAACGTCCACTTCTTATATACAGTATGGGATTATCGTGGTGAAGTGATCATAGTGACTGTGACTTGGACACTGAAGTTCTAGAATCAACAGGTCGACAAGCACTTAACTGACGGAACCCTTCAGCCCACTCATAAGGCAAGACTGCCCACCTGCACAGGCCATGTTTCACAACTCTTGGAGGTTATGATGAAGTTCAACTTCAACACAAAGCTTTCACTGCGAACAATCTACAGCGGATACTAATGATCTCTGCCAGCTCATTATTCTCTCTGTGTTCTTGTAATTCATCACCCTCAATTATCCAGCAGAAAAGAAGATGGACTGTCCAGCAGCCTTTTAGAGAAAGGTCAAGGTAACAATCTCGTATTGCATTCCAAAGAGCATTAAGTTCCAAAAATACAGAGCTGTTTCCAACCACATGCCAGGACCATCTCTACTGCAGAACTAAGTGCAAGATGTGCAGTCTTACATCAGCAGATTTAGGACGAATGCTTTGGGAATTCAATGTGTGCAGAATGCTTGTAATTCAACCAACAAGTGGTTGTGATTATGGGGACCTTAAAAGAGGTCTCAGGAAAATCTGCTGGGCAAGAGATGAGGTACTAGTGTTTTAAAGGCTTTTGTATGAAATTAAGAAGTCGGAGCTGCGATGAAAGTGCAGCCCCTTTGGCCTCGAAAATCCTGCAATCTGAAAACCAAATACCAGCCCCCGGCCATACCACATCATTATCATCAGTAATAGTATCCCTTGCTGAAGGAACATTGGATTAGTGTACATAACATACATTTACACTCCTGTGCCCCGCACTTCAATCGGCGAGGCTCGAAGTGTTTGAAATAGATTTACCAACATGGCACCCAAAATGAGATGCGCGGAGGATCAAACAAAAGATAACGTCTGCCTCGGCCAGAGTTTGAGTGAGCCGGGCGAAGAAAAAAAGCCGAAGGGGAACGCTTGTGAGGTCGAAGATCAGGACGGCAAAACAGCGAGGCAGGGAGAAAGAGAGTCAGCGGGAGGAAGAATTCAGCGATAGAGTAAGGAGACGCAGGGCAGGAAGAAAGGGAGGGAGGGAAGGTTGGTTGAGGTAGAGGGCAGGACAACACTGCGGGGGTGAAAGCTGGAAATGGGCCAGGGTCAGCGAGGCCGGGCAAGAAGGAGGCAGATACTGCAGCTAGCCAGATGGTGGCTTTGGATTGCAGCTTGTTTTCTCCGTCTTTCCTCCCCTACTCCGCTTTAGCTGACAGAGCTACACCGGCAGTCTGAGTCAGGAAAGTTCTTAAAGATCGGGGCTAATAGGCAAAAGACATAAATCAGCATCTTTACCATGATGATGTGTAGAAAACATGGACATGAATAAAACAGAATTGTTTTGTTGTATTGCATTGTAGAGCTAAGTTCTAGTATTAACCTGTGTGATTGCTCAGCTTACATAGGATGTGGACTAGCCGATGTGTTTGGCAAATGTAGCGCCCCGTCATGTGACGTTGGAGTGTAAACTTCGCCAAATCCAATATGAGCAGGACAGAGCTTCTCCGCCTAAACTTTGATAGCATCCAGAACCGGCTTGCACACACCATGGTGAACGTGTCTTACCAGCAACCCAACAAACAAATACAACCAAGTTCGTGAAGGATGTGCTCTTTGGCCCTGGAAGTAGAGCTGGGTTACGACTGTGGGTAAGCTAGTTAGCTGAACATGCTGACGATTGCATCTTACGTTCGGGCAGAAAACACATTGTGCAACCCACACCTTACATTTTTACTGGTGCGTTTTTTGGTTTCCATGAAAGGGCTCAAAAGTATTTTTAAACGGGGAGAATCCCTTTTAGTGGCCAATGCACACCGCCAAAGCCTTCGATGACGAGGGCATGACCCGTCCTACTCTTCCTCTGATTGGCTTTAGCTGATATTTTTACCCTAACACTAACCAATCTCACTTCTCAGGTGGGTCATGACTTCGCAACCTCAAGAAAAAGAATGTGGCACCCCATTATGGTTGCTTAAGTATGATTGGATGGCCTAGTAAATAGTCGATCCAAATTAAATAATTTTGCATCACTTTAAATGGAATTGAATTCTGATTCTTTAACTAATTCTGGTGGCGTTAAATCAAAACCAGAAATGTATGCAGGGTTGTATTCTTTCAAATGATAATACGTATTCCAGTGTGATGAGATTTACCTACAGCATATGACCGACAGCTGTGTCCTCAGTACCTACCATGTACTCCATGTTGGAGGCAGGAGGGTGGACCTGACCCCGCAGCTTGTTGTGCAAGTCCAGGATGAGGTGCATGTCCCCCTCGCTGATGGCCCTCCTCCCCCTTGACCTAGCCCTCCACCACTCCTCGTCCCTGTCCCTGTACTTGTCCAGCATGGATTCCAGCTGCGTGGAGTTATTGAGGACCATGGCCAGGATGGTCTGCGTCAAACACAGGAACAAGCTTGCCGCTCCGACCCAGCCCGGGACAGGAAGGGACCTCTTCATGATGGGCAGAATGCTGCTGCTTAATGAAGAACACGTTTTGATGTCTGCAAAACAGAGAAGGAATCTTTAATAAGAATAGCATGAGTTTTGATTGATTTCAGCTTCATTACAGTGATGCACATGAGAACAAAGTTTCCGCGAAGCTGTTCTTGCATCATTATTACAGTAGCTCATTAATTGGCGCCTTATCATGGACTCTAGGCTAAATTTTCATCGATCGGTGCACACATTCATTTCTCCCCTTCTTAGTAAGCTTACCTACACTCCAGCATCTTCATAAAAGAGTCCGAAGGCACCTTGAATCTGTCCTCTGTCTCCGTTTAAATAATGCTGTAATCATAGGGGGACTCCACTTCAAACAGTAAGTCTAATGCAGCTTCCAGCAGCCTGAGGGCATATGCAGGTCACTGCATCACTACGCACAGTAGGACCAGTGTGAACCCAATTTTCACAAGATTTAGTGCGCATGAGTTACTGTACTTTACTTGTCAACATGCACTGAAAGGGAGGCAGAGTTTTGACAAACAGATGCAATCATAATTATCATTATCTTTTCTTTTAATGATCACTTTGAGAACGAAACAGTCCAAAGATATATTTTGTACAAAAAAAATAGTTCCGATAACAAGTTCCATTATCGAGGATATTGTAAAAATGATTCCAGTAATAATAAAGCCTACTTTTAAAATGCAAAATGTAATTAAGCTATAAACCCCCTTGTGGGTGACAAATTTACACTCACAGGTCCTAAATAATATCAGCTTAGTCATGTCATAGTGCATAAACTAGTGAAAGTTTACCTTTAAATTGCGCCAAACCAATGGAAATATATCTCCCAGGTGCAATATTCCAGATGCCAGAGATTACTGCAGAGTGACCTTTTTCTAATCTGTGGAGTCTTTAAATCCATCCATCACACAGAATGAGTGCAATGCAGTCGGTCCGCGCTGGAAGAGTGACAGAGAAAGTGGGGAACGTCTATAGGTACCTGTTGAATTCCTTAGCTGACTCAGCTCGCTACTGGCTGCCTGGGGCTGCTGCTCATTTTGCGTGTATATGCCAAATTGGCGCTTTGGTTAGCAACATGCAAACGCACGGGACCACGCCTCCGCAAACCCTCTTGCCTGCTCCCCCTTACTGCACCCCCCCCATTTAACGCACGCACGAACGAACGCACACACACACACATGTTGGATCTCCAAAGTTGATACATATGAGGAGCCACTGATCGCACTAGAAGTGACGTGAAGGTAAACGTGTGGATGTTATGAGAGCAGCCCACTCGTGTTGCAAAAAAATGCACATTTTGCTTTTTTCCTGAGTTTTCAATTTTTTGTTTGACAGGAACACACGGTCAAAATTAGCTATTAGCAGCAGAAAATAGATAATAATAGATATTATATTATAGATAATAAAGATTCCTAAGGATTAATAAGCCAACCATGCACTTATGACATTTATTCTTATATTGTGTCACTAGTAGAGAGCCTTTTCTTCTGGTGTCACTCCGCATATTCTACATGAACACAGTTTACAATCATATCTGTGGTGTCCTTGCAAAACAATAGTGGGAACTTATTATACAGTAACAATAATTTGCACAAATGCATCAAACATCCCATTCATGAACATCTGCAGGTGAACATTTCTGAGATCACATTAGGGTCCTTTACTGCGTGTGTGTGTGTGTGTGTGTGTGTGTGTGTGTGTGTGTGTGTGTGTGTGTAGCGGCATCCAGCAGGGTGGCCAATATTCCCCCTGTGACGCGACCACAAAGCACTGATTCATCTGCCTTTTACAAACACTAGAACACTTGTGAAAGTGTGTGGGCCGTGTGTGTGTGTGCGTGTATGTGTGAGTGCGCTCGCTCTCTCTCTCTCTCTCTCTCTCTCTCTCTCTCTCTCTCTCTCTCTCTCACTGCTTCCTCTGCTCCAACATGCTCTGTTCCGACTGTCCGTCAGCACAAAGAAGACTTTTGAATTTGCATTGAGGTCCAAAGTTAAGGCGGAGAAGTGTGGAGAAACATATAAAACAATGCGCATTACAGCAAACAGATACAACATGATAGTAAAACGATAATAAATAAGATAGTGTGCGTAAAGGTGAGACCACATTATGATAGACGCAGCATTTCAACTAGAAAACAGAGAGTCCACCAATTTACCAAAATGATCTGTAGTATTTGCTTTTATAGGTTCTGGTAAATCTACAGTATATATTCAAACTTCTCTCACATAAACACATCTATCAGCACCTTACCATGCCAAAGTAAATGTCCAGCAAAGCGTCCCAGAGACAAAAAGACAAAATCCTCACAAGTGAGAACACGGGACAAGGAAATGTTTTGCATGTTTGCTGTAAAAACGACATGTAACGAATAGATTAATCGGTCGTGAAGATGGTTTCCGGCTAATCGATTAATCAACCAGTCGTTTCAGCAACAACTCTAACATTAAGCCGTGTCTACTTACTACAAAATGACTGATGACTGAAACATAAAAAGGGCTACAAATATGGCTTCTGTGTCACTTTAACACAAAATAACCTCCTTATTCCACTTCGTTAAAAACCAGGTAACGTCCACAGTTTTAAATGAATATTACTGTGTGCACTTAGATGCCAGACAACATTGATTAGCTTTGGTGATTAATGCAAGGATGTTCTCAACATGTCTGATAACGTGTAGTCTCTTCTACAAGCATCTGCTGCCCCCTCTTGGATGAAGAAGAGACTTTCTGTAAAAAAGAAGAAAAAAACCTTCAGCCCTCAACATCCATGATATAAATATGCTACGTATTTAATATTTAATTTTAGCATACTTAAGTATACTTGAAGCCCTACTAATCATCAGTATACTTCAAGAGTGCTATTTTGGAACAACTTATTTTGTACTTAATATATTTTAGTTGTGATTAAATAGTAGTTAAGCACAATTTAAGTATATGACTGTGTATGTAATATACATGCCGATAGCTAACTTAAATTATACCTTTTTTGTGTTTTAAGTATATTTGAAATATATTATGAGAGTTTTACAAATATGTAAACATTACAATATTAATATATTGATATTGTGGTAATAGTATACCAAAACTTATACTTTTGGCTTATTACTAAGAAAGCACACTTTCTTATTACTATGCTATATTACTTTGTACACTACATACTATTATATATTACAATATTATAAATGTATTACCAGTATCCTAAATGCTGAATGAACTTCCCAGATAGTAATCAAAAACACTTTATTGAATTTCAAATATATTCTTAATATATATTATATATATATAATATATTTATAATAGTACATTGCAAATACACTGCCAAGAATTGTACTATTTGCAAATCTATAAAATGTACTAACATCGTACGTCTAACAATTTGCAAATTAAAACTTTAAACACACTTTCAAAAAATTGTAATAGAGTGCATTTTCGAGAAATATAAGAATAATATACTTAACAGAGAGCAAAACATTTTCTGATTTAAGTTCACATGGTACATGTACTACTAAACAAAACAGAATGACCATGTGTCCGATTAAAACAACACAGAACTCCGCTGCAGACTCTCGCTCACTAAATAGAAACACAAACATGCTCCACGTTATGTTCCTTTCTTTTGGCTGAACTGCTCGTTGTTACACTTCCGTCTGATGACCGCTTGCACGTCCGAGGCACTCGTCTGCGGAAACTCTTGAATAACAGCATCTGTTAAGAGAAGAGATGAGGAATGATGTCACACAGCATATTCAAACAACATGTTCTTCTATTTTGACTACACAAGAAATCCTGTTGAACCAATATTATTTTTTGAACAGTAAATCAGGATTAACATTGATGAACTATAGCAATATGATATGCCAATATTCCTACCAGTGCAGGTCAAACATATATTTCATCACTGGTGGTGTGTTCACCACGAACATGTGATCCTGCTGCTGTATCACAGAAGCTTTAAATTGTCTACATACGACTCAAGACAATTACCTACCTGTTGTGGCCTGCACTTTGACAACGTCCAGTTGTCTTTTAGGAGGTCCCACTTTCTAGGGCGTTCCCGCTGCCGTATCCAGCTGTAGTGTCATGTGAATGACCCCATGGAGCTGTCAACTGCCCCCATCCAAAGAACTATGAGCTGAGGAACGGGTGCGCAGGCCTAGAAGCATGGGAGGGCCGCTCTTCACTGTACTCAGTGATTTGATGCATCAGCCCCCCCGTGGAGGGTCAGGAGAAGCAACTTCATCTGGGCTAGCTCAGCGGTCAGCAGATCCACTCTAGAAGACAGCATGTCGGAGTTAGCCCTCTTGGAGGAGCCTCTGTGGCCCGGCGTTTGAAATGGGTAGGTTGGCCTGGATTCAACTGAGGTCACACGCGACTTTGTTGATATAAAGACTCGACCTGCGTGTACGTGAGATAAAAGATATTCAGTATCAAACACTGCCTCTGGCGGTCAGTACGGATGAAATAGAACACGAAATTGGCAGAAGTACAAAACACACCGAAAAATAGATCTAGTCATATCTAAAAAAAACTTAAATATAAAGTATACTTTGTTTGCACTGAAATAAACACACATAGATATACAGACCTCGGTAGTGTGACTAAAACTATAAAAAACAAATATTATTATTCTATATTATAAATATGATCAAATCAATGATTTATTATTAAAAAAGAAAGAAAGAAATACACTAAGTCATCATGTCAGTTTCTTACTACAACCTGCATGTACGTATGTACACTTTATACAGTACATTTACACACAACACCATACTTTCCACATTTCCATTTCCATTTATTTTTCATCAATAACATACTGAATGAATTCATGTATTTAGTTCCAGTATTTCTTAATTATTAGTCAGCTCCATATAATGATTTCCCTCCTCGTATTTAAATCCACAGCAGTGATTTTTACCTTTAAGTCAGAGTCTTTATGTTCTTTAATCTATTTTAGGATTAAACACACACCAGCATCAGACTCAGCATGTTTTTAGGAGTTTAACCAAACGTCCTCTCTGTCTGCAGCTGAAGAGGATGCAGGAGATGCTGAATAAAATGCAGCAGCAGATGCACCACAAAGACAAGTGATCGTCTCCCGGAGTAGAGCTGGTCTGCAGCGCCACCTGCTGTTTCTCCCCTGAATGACAGGGGGACGTTCAGACAACATGGGTATCACGTGTTAATCTGGCTGTACTTTAACCTCAGTTTGGTGCATTGTTGAGTTTGTAGAGTATAGTCTGCCTGGACCGTTTTTTGTAAGAGGCGTTTTTTGTTTTTGGTCCGCCCTGGAGGTATCATAGGCTCCGGAACAGATCCGCAAAACGGGTCCGGATCGGAGTCCACTTGCCCAGCGGGACGGATCTGGAACGGATACGCGTCAAAGATCCAGACCAGATCCAGCCGGTATCCGCTCATATCCGATATGGACCCGTTCATAAAGCGGCTCATTTGGCCCTGGTCCGATTTGGACCCGTTCATAAGCTGTTCATGAAGCGGATCCCTTACTCAAAACTAACTACAGAAATATCTCAAATCAAGCTGACCAACATATAGATTACTCTAAAAGCGTGAATACTCTATTAATAATAAAATGTTGAATTTATTTAAGACTTAAAATCTACAGTTATGCTGCAGAACATAAATGCATAGTTCGTGCAAAATCCCTTGTGCATTTATAGCCAACAGTGGACTCTGCAATAGTCTTAATATAAATGTGTAAACTTACTTCATGTCATAACTCTGGACAAAATGGGTCCAGAGAAGTCAAACTTCAGTGTTTGGAAATAGAAAAAATAAATGAAGCAGGTTTACCTGGTGGCTGCTTCAATGCAGCGCATCTTCTGCCATATTGTATAGCCCCGAAAACAACCAGCTGTTGCTCCGTGAAACATCTGGATAAAGTTGTAAAGCCGTTGGATGCGCGTCACGGATCCAACGGAGCGCAGCAGCGCCGCAGAAACATCCTCGGCCCAGTTTGAATGAGACCGTATATCTTCTGAGAGGATTAATGCAGCCTAAAGGTGGGGCAAAAATTGCGAATGTTTGTAGAGTAATCCTTTGAGCTTCCGGGGAGTCAGAGAGAGAGCGAGAGAGAGAGAGAGAGAGAGAGAGAGAGAGAGAGAGAGAGAGAGAGATGGGAATGTCGAACTCTCTGTGGCGCATGTTGTGAGGGACTGATGGACACTTTTCCCCAAGGAAGAGACGTTTGATTGAGACTATTTAATGGCAATATTTGTGACTGAGCTCCTCATCCTCAGGGAACAGATATGGTGCACAAACTTCTGCTGCCCATCGGTGAGTTTACAGCTGTGAACCCTGTTTCATAATGTAGGCAAATTGTATTGTTTATTTTAAATTCCTTGCCTTTAAGGAAAAATAATCAAAAGCATTTGTTTATAATCCTGTTTTTATGCTGTGTGCTTCCTGGTGTATTATCGTATGTCTTTAGTTTGAAAAATACTTTCTATTTCTTAGAAGAATTACTTCAAGCTGATTTTCTGACAAATAGAAAAAAATAATCTTAATTTTCAATTCTCTTCTCTTCTCTCAGCTTTAGCAGCAAGCCTCATCTCACCTGAGCTGTCGGGTGTCTCAGCTACCAAAATAAAAGCTCAAGGTAAATCATCGCATCCTGAGTCACTGCTCATTCTTCACTATTAACTGTTGTAAGACTTTGGGGAATTTTCGGTTGTAGCACATCAGTACAGAGCAGTGCTAAAAAACTGTTATGGAGTAGCCTACTTTTTAAAAATATTTATACTTTTTACTTTGTGGAGAAAAAAAATATGACTGGAATGTGGTTTGGAATAGAATATCAGAATATGATTAGCATTATTTCACTTTTTTCTATTGACAACACAACTGAATGATTAATGGGGGGGATCAAATGTGAAAATAATCAGCGTGAGTAAATAACATCTCACTAAAAGCGATATTAACACATCAAATCAGATCAGAAACGCTCATCGTTAGATGGACATATTAACACGTATCCAATAACAGAAATATTTTATCACCAGTTTGCTAATCATGGAATACTAAGTAATTGTGCCTTTTTCCTTTGTAAATAGTTTCCCACGATTTAAAAACGGGAAGCTAATTTAGCTTTGTGACGCTAAAAAGGACAGGAGTTTGATTAAAAACCCACTTATTTGAACTGTACACAATACAAAATTATAATATTAAAGTATGCAACAATCAATCCACGCTTTTAAAAAGAAGAAACGACAAACACAAAGAGCTGTACAGCTGGTGTTGTGCTGGACACTTTCATCTGCCTGTTGTCCTGCTTCTCCAGCAGTGAAGAACAACTCGGGTGTGACACCAGCAGGGCAGTGTGGGACCTGGGTGAAGGAGCCTGAGGGGGGGTATTTCACCTCTCCCAACTACCCTCAGAAATACCCTCCTGAGAAGGAATGTGTCTACATCATAGAAGGTGAGGCTTTGTCACTTGTCATTTCTAGCCACTTACTCACTTTCTACCCCCTCCTGATTTTAATCTCACTCACCATGTCCTCAACCTCCCCCCCCCCCTTGCTGCAGCCTCTCCCCGACAGTGCATTGACTTGTTCTTCGATGACAAATATTCCATCGAGCCGTCCTGGGAGTGTAAGTTTGACCACATCGAGGTCCGTGATGGGCCTTTCGGTTTCTCTCCAATCCTCGGTCGCTTCTGCGGGCAGGAAAGCCCAGCGTACGTCCGCTCCAGTGGGAGGTACCTGTATATCAAATTTGTGGCTGATGGTGAACTGGAGGCCATCGGTTTCTCTGCCCGGTATAACTTCACGCAAGGTGAGTGATGGACGATATGGGTAAACGGTAGGCGTACAAATGAATCTACCAGGAATGCGTGCTTATACATACTTTTTAAGCTTTAAGCTGCATTAATCAGTATTTTTATATTAACAATGGATCACATGACTGTGTTTAATAAAAGGGTTTTCTTGTAGCGATGAACCCAATTATCACCTGGCTCTGCAGCTGTAGTGTTTTAGCATCGTTCAGCTCATTGTTTTGTTTTTACGGTCCTCAACCCTAACCTAACTAACCCTAACCCTAACGCTAACCCAACAGTTTTAGGTCACTCCTAAACTTGATGTTGATAACAGGAAAGCTCTGATAAATCCCCAGCACACTTCCTGCCCAGTACAGACAGGCAAAGTGAGAGAATAGATAGTGAAGGTAGTGGCGCATTAAGCTGCTAAAGAGACAGATATTTCCCTTAGTAGTTGGTGGAGACCAAAACAGAGCTGGAGGGAGAGCGAATATTGAACTTACATTCATCAGGAGGACACAAAAACAGCTAAAAATTAAAGCTTGTGTTGCTCTGTGTCTGCTAAATATTTAAAGACAACTGTGTGCGAAGACATTTGCCTAAAAAAAGTGGCCAAAAACATAAAGACAGAGTTTTATTTTTTCCTTTTAACTCACATCTCTACATAAATAAAGCATGCATAGGTCTTTTCTGTGCATGTCGGAATTTGGGCTTGTAAAAAATGTAATTTGCCCTTGCAGGATTAATAAAGTATATGTTCTTCTTCTTCTTCTTCTTCACCAAACTACTTCTACTAAGAAGTACTAAAGGTTTGTTGTGACCTCTAAACTTTGCCAAAGCGGTGTTAATTCAAGCAAGAGAAAGGAAAATAGTGCATCCAATTTCTTCTCTGGTCACATAATCTAGTTTATGGAGGAACGTAATGTTAAATCTGAAAAGTAAAAAAAAATAAAAATCATAATATGTAATCCATCCAGAGTCTGTCCTCATTTGACCACATTTGCATAGAAATTCTGCCATTTCATTGTCACTTAAGGGGACATATCGTGATCTTTTTCGGGTTCATATTGTAATTCTGGTTTCTAGAACGTATTTGCGTTAATGTTAAAAAAAATCAGGGAGGGATTGCCTTTCTTTCACAGTTTGTGGGTTGGTAGGCTCTCCTGATACCCATTGAGCACTGAGTTTCTCATGATATGTCCCATTTAATTAATCTATTTAGGCTGGTTTAATTAAAAAAACCTTTTTTTACTTTTTCCAAAGTGTTGAATTTTTGGGTAGTTGTGTGAAATAAAAGTGGTCAAGGTCACTTGGTAAAGGTGGGTGATGACTGTGGTCATGCTTTTAAAAAGATAGCGTCGACAGATGTTTTGTTGATTCATCCCTCCACCCCAACCTCCCCCCTACGTGGACTTTGTCGCGCTAATGTCACATAAACACCTGTCGTTTTGGGCGTAATTTATCATTTCTGCTATATCGTTGATCTTGTATCATACCAGCTGGCCCTCTGGCTGGCTGGCAGGGTTGATGTTAGAGTATTACTACGACTCTAAGCCATTCAACTCCTGTCTTTGGCGCTCTCTCCCAATCCACCACCATGCAGTGATTTTCACAATGTTGGCTGCTGCATTGCCAAAACTGGCTTTCTCTTTTACACAGTCCCTCCCCTTTGTGTCTTCGCCCCCTTTCGGCCAGATCATGTATTCCAATTAAAACACATGTTGACACACATTTGCATGTGATGTCAAAAAAAAGTTACATATTGCAACTTTGAATTTGCTCTGGTGGCACGCTGCTGGAAACGTATACTCTCATTTTCATTTGTAGTGCAGGCACAGCAGCTGCAGCTGACGAAGAGGAGAGGAGGCGAGCATTTATGCAAATACACGCACATACACACGCGGGCACTGGTTCCCTCAGTCGCAAACACACACACACACACACACACACACACACACACACACACACACACACACACAAGTTAATGAAAGCTTGTCTTCAGGGGAATACAGCTTGTCAGCACTGAGCCGCAGTAGCAGCTTAAGAGAGTCCAAGGCAGAGGCTTCATTAGCAGTAGAGTTTATAGGCCACCTACACTGACGGGGGGGGGGGGCAAAGATTAATCTGCATCCCATCCAGCCATCCAACCGTGTTTCTTTCTTTCTTTCTTTCTTTCTTCTAAACATGTTTGACCCTCTGTAGATTATAATTTCATTCCGCAAGGGATGCTCCAGTTTTAGACTAGAGACCTGTGAGTCCGTCCCACACATTTTAAGTGGGGA